ATTGGCGAGAGTTCTCCAAGGCACGGCCGACTGTCGACATACGCATACCCGACAAGATTTTGCTGGAGTGCAAAGAGCTGGTCTTGGAGAACGATGCGCTAGTTGAGCTACAGCGTCTGCCAGGCGAGAATAACGTAAGACAACTCCAGGGACTGTGAGATCATACAATTTACTAATCTCTCTCTCTCTGTGTCTATATTTTTGTAGTGCGGCATGGTTGCTTGGCGCATTGTGCTGGCCACGCCCGAGTATCCAGCTGGCCGTGAGATTATAGTGATTGCCAATGACTTGACCTATCTGATTGGCTCGTTTGGCATCAAGGAGGATGTGCTCTTTGCCAAGGCCTCGCAGCTGGCGCGAAAGCTCAAAGTGCCTCGAGTGAGTAGCTTCATTTGACTCGCAATCGAATATATTCTTATCAAGTCTTTCTCCTGCAGATCTATATTTCTGTCAACAGTGGCGCGCGCATTGGCCTCGCTGAGGAGGTGAAGGCCATGTTCAAGATCGCATGGGAGGATCCAGAGGAGCCAGACAAGGGCTTCAAATATCTATACTTGACCACTGAGGACTATGCCAAGGTGGCGAATCTGAACTCGGTGCGTGCCATACTCATCGAGGATGAGGGCGAGCAGCGCTACAAGATTACGGATATCATTGGCAAGGACGATGGCTTGGGCGTTGAGAATCTGCGCTATGCTGGCTTGATTGCCGGTGAAACGTCGCAGGCGTATGAGGAAATCGTAACCATTGCCATGGTCACCTGTCGCACCATCGGCATTGGCTCCTATGTGGTTCGTCTTGGCCAGCGTGTCATACAGATTGACAATTCGCACATTATACTCACGGGCTATGCGGCCTTGAATAAGGTAATACATTGGCATATATCTTATCTGGAATCCAATATTTATACTCCCTTTTCTTTATTCCATCTGTAGCTGCTCGGTCGCAAGGTCTATGCCTCCAATAATCAGCTTGGTGGCGTCCAGATCATGTACAATAATGGTGTCACGCACAAAACGGAAGCCATCGACTTGGATGGTGTTTACACGATACTCGACTGGCTCTCTTACATTCCCGCTTATATTGGCTGCGATCTGCCCATTATATTGCCCAGTGATCGCATCGATCGCCCCGTTGATTTTATGCCCACCAAATCGCCGTATGATCCACGCTGGATGCTCGCTGGCCGTGTGAATCCCGCCAATGCCAATGAATGGGAGAATGGTTTCTTTGATCGTGATTCATGGAGCGAAATTATGGCGCCCTGGGCCAAGACTGTGGTCACGGGACGTGCCCGTTTGGGTGGTGTGCCAGTTGGCGTTATAGCCGTAGAGACGCGCAGCGTGGAGGTAGAGATGCCTGCGGATCCCGCGAATTTGGATTCGGAAGCCAAGACACTGCAGCAGGCTGGCCAGGTTTGGTATCCCGACTCGTCCTACAAGACAGCGCAGGCGATCAAAGATTTCGGACGCGAAGAGTTGCCATTGATTGTGTTTGCCAACTGGCGCGGTTTCTCCGGCGGCATGAAGGACATGTATGAGCAGATTGTGAAATTCGGCGCCTACATTGTCGACGGACTGCGGGAGTACAAGAAGCCAGTGCTCATCTATTTGCCACCCAATGCTGAGCTGCGTGGCGGTGCCTGGGCTGTGCTCGATTCTCTGATCAATCCGCGTTACATGGAAACCTATGCCGATCCAGAGGCACGCGGCGGTGTGCTCGAACCGGAGGGCATTGTGGAGATCAAGTACAAGGAGAAGGATTTGATCAAGACAATACATCGCCTGGATGGCACCACCATTGGGGTAAGGCAGACATAATCCATATACTATCTATATAGTTGACTAATTTCTCATTGCATAATCTTTGCAGCTGAAACGCGAGTATGACGAGGCCATCGCCGCTGGTGATAAGGTCAAAGCCGCACAACTGGATGAGAAGATTAAGGCGCGCATTTCAGTGCTCATGCATGTGTATCACACTGTCGCCGTTCACTTTGCCGATCTGCACGATACGCCCGAGCGCATGCTGGAAAAGGAATGCATAAGCGAAATAGTGCCTTGGCGCGAATCGCGTCGCTGGCTCTACTGGCGTCTGCGTCGACTGCTGCTCGAGGATGCCTACATCAAGAAGATCTTACGCGCACAAGACAACCTCTCGGTGGGTCAAGCCAAGCAGATGCTGCGTCGCTGGCTAGTCGAGGAAAAGGGCACCACAGAGGTAGTGTTACAAAGCCAGCTTCCAATTCATGAATATAAATTAATATGTCTCCATTGCAGGCCTATTTGTGGGATAATAATGAGGAAATGGTGAACTGGTACCAGGAGCAATCAAACAGCGAATCGATTGTGTCCAAAAATGTCAACTCTGTGAAGAGGGATGCCATTATCTCCACAATATCCAAAATGCTCGAGGTAGCTTAGTTATATATGAATGTATATGCTATATATATTAATGTGTATATATTTCCATTGTCAGGACTGTCCGGATGTGGCACTGGACGCTGTCGTTGGTCTCTGCCAAGGACTGACGCCCGTGAATCGTGGCGTGGTCGTACGCACCTTAGCGCAAATGCAGCTAAATGAGGAGTCCTCAGCGAATACCCAAGGATGACTTTACTTTCACTTTTAAGTTAGGGCGAGCATCGAGAGTCTCCATTTCAAAGTTTGGTTTACGGATGTTTTTAATGCACAATATCGGAGGAGTGTTTCGTTTATTTTTGATAGGATTTGCTTGCTAGCAAATTGTTTGCATTTTGTTTAGTTAAATTTTTGCTGTACATTTAATTAGTCTATTATATTAGTTTCTATTAATTTAGTTAACTTCAAATGTTCTTTTTTGGAATTTTAGGCCGTGGGTAGTACAAGTTTCGAATGGGACCCTCAAGATTTAAATTTTCTAGTTATTCTTATATCAAATATATACGTATATAAACGTCTCTCTATATATGTATATATAGATAAACTGCTCTATATACAATTGTTTTTGTATTTGTATTGTATACAAAAGCAAAACTTTCCGCTAGTTGTTTAAGAGTTAAAATTGTATACCATGCATATATAAATACAAATATTTATATATGTGTATGCAGAAATATTTTGTGAATTATACGAATAGAAAAATACCATTGTGAATATATGTATGTACATGTTTCATATATAAATTGAATTTATATTTTTACGATTTTCTCTTAATATTGTTTTTTTTTTTTTTTTATTGCATTGATTCATGGAATCATCTGCTATTTATTTCTTAATTCAAAATGAAATTTTACATGCGGAACTCCAGAGGCAAGTGTAAATTAAATTAAAAAGAAAACTGCCAGATTAGGATGAGAAAATCCCAGTAAATTTCTCAAATGATGCTAATCCCCATTTTATTCAGTTCTGTTGATCCAGCCATTCGGGCTCGGCCACGCCTATTTTCTCAATAATGGAGTTCACTTGATAACAAAGCGATTGGATTTGACGGTCCCATTGGGGCAACAGCTCACGATTCTCGAAATGAACTATTCCAGAAATTTGATCAATGTGTCCATTCATGCGTCCCTCCGTGATCATCTGTGATGCAATCTTTTCGGCCTTGGCAGCAGGTATATCCAACAGGGCACCCAATTCCTCGAAAGTTATGTTATTATACAATTTGCTGGCGGACAACAAATTGTGCTCGAAGACCGCACGGTCTAGTATGGAGGAGCCATCCGGCGTGGCAGCCTTCTGGTGATCCTGCAACAAAGCCTCGAATTCCTGCAGCTCGGAGCGTCGTATGATGCGCTCCAAATACATCTTCTCCAGTATGCCATAGGCAGGCAAATGCTGGCAGCGCTCATCCTTGAAAAGTGTAGCCAGCATTCTAGAGCGTTGCTGCCCCGCTGAGGCTAGAACTGTGCAGATCAGAGCCTTCTTCAAGGCAGTCATTCGCTCGCCCTGATCCACGATTTTGCGATAGGAGAGTTCGTTGTAACGCTGAGCAGCCTCAATGAATTTACGACGATAGTCAAGAACGCGGGCATAACAAACTTTGTAGAGAACCTAAAGAGATCATAGATAGCATTATTGAATATATGGATAGATGACAGAGCGAGTGTTACCTGCAACTCTTCGGAATTTGTTTCGGCTTGCAGTAATGAAGCGCGATTGATGAAAAGTTCGGCCTGCACCGAATCGTTGTCCTCCAAATAGAGACGTGCAATTTTCAAGTATGTACCCAGTTTGCATTCCACAGAATATTGTTTCTGGCCCGTTTCCAAGGGTATACCGACCAGAACGGTCGCTGCATCACGCCATTGCTGATTGCGTTCGTAGATGTTGGCTAGATGAAAACGTATGCCAGCCACTTGCTCCTCGAATGAGATGACGCGTGGATGAACCTTCTCGAGTGTAAAATGGGACAGCTGCTTGGACATGTCATCGGGCAATTTACTTAGCTCAACGCCCACATCGTTGAGGATCTGGCGCGCAATTACCAGGCTGACATGCTCATTGACAATGGCCTCAACAAAGAGTTTCAGTGTATCGATCAATTCGGGACCGGTGTTTGAGAGTACACTTTTCAGCAGCTGACGGTACTTGTCGGCCTGGTCTTTGTGTGTGCCAATAAAGTTGGTCAAGCCCATTAGCTGGGTACGCAGCACCGCCGTCGGTATGCCCATTATCCCTGTTAGCTAAACTCTACCTTTGACTTAAAAGCACTATGAAAGGAGACAAAACTAATAATTATTATCGATAAGGCGATGGTAAAAGTGCTGCAAAACGTTCGAACTAAAAATGTAGCAGAAACTGGTATTTTTTAAACTCATAATAGTACTTCTTAAATTATTTAAAATAAGTATATTTCATATATTTGCATCCCATTCATAACATGTATATATTATAATATCTATAAGTGTAATGTAAAGACGTAATATATACATTTTATGTATTATTGTTTACATTTTGGTATATAATAATTGAAAATAGTGGCAGCTCTAGCAAACGTAGGCGATAACAGTGAAAGGACTTATCGATTATTGCAATTTATAAACAAAGCGGCTTAAAATACGTCACCTGGAATTTCGGGCATGGATTTGCCTGTTGAATATGGCAGATGATGATGATGATGACGACTACAGCATTACTGCAAGTCCAACAGAATTAAGTGGCCATTGCTCATTACGCAAACAAAGAAGAAATCCTCACAACTACAATGCACCGGCCAAGCTGTCGACGGTAACACGAGGATCATTGCAATTTGATGATTGGGAATATGAAGCAGATCGCTTGGACTGTCTGCGCGCACAGCAAGAACCAGCACGAGTGCATCTCATACCAGCATCTCAAAATTTTACAACGTTGCAATCCATGTTAGAGCAACAAGATATGAACGACATAGAGGACGCTGAGCCAGAGAGAGATATAACAGAGACAGCAAACATTGCACAGCAGATACTGAGGGATTTCTGTGAATCTCCTACATACTTCGAAGACGATGATGAGCTGTTACTGGAGGACTACTCTCCCTGGTTTCGTTTTCGAGGCAAGAGAATCAAAACCTATGGAAAGGAACGATTAAAAACTAGTGCACCAGTTGTCACAGATGATGATGAGGATCGCTTGAGCTGCAGTTCCTCGGAGTTGTCCGTGCAAGAGGACTACAACACCCAAGTTCCCACAAGGACAAACTGTGCCTTCGATGCAAATAGCTCACAGAAAATCTGTGAGAATTTACTAAATCTGAGTGCATTTTTCAGCACTCAAAGCAATGCAAACAAATCGATTAATTTGCCCGACATGCAAATGGACTTGAAGAATTCTACAGTACTGGAAGCGAAAGACTTTGAAGACGAGGATGCTACTGGTATTCTGGAGGAAATGGGGTACTTTGTTGGCGGCACCGAGCAATGTAAATATCTTGAGGATAACTGTGATAGTAAAATAATAGGTAAGTCATATGCAAAGCGGTATTTTCAATGAGTTTTTGAATTTCCCGGTTTCCCGATTCCCGATTACTTTTTTACATACTAGAAGATCGAATACCCTAAAAATTTGATATCTGATCTTATGGTTACTATTAATTTTTCTTTTTGCAGATAATGCTGAATTTTCACTATTTAGAGATGAAACTGCAGGAAGAGTTGAGAAATTGCAAGGTAAATTTAAAATAAATAGCTCGCATTATAATTTAAAAATATATATATATAACATATTTTAGACACCAACTTATGTGAAGATAAGAATGTACACTCCAAAAAGACTCAGCTGGAAGCTGCTAAAGAAACTTCAGAAATTGAGCTGCTTGAGGAAATAGCCTTAAGTGAATGGCAGCCCATCGAAATTGAGAACTCAAGCATAAACGAAAAGCAAGGGAAGGATTGCAAAGAGCAAATGGAGATGGAGATGATTGCATTCAGCGAATGGCAACCTGTTGAGCTAATAGACAATCCAATAGAAATTCAAGAGGCACCACCAAAGGAAAAACCTAGCCACCTACATGAGATAAGTAAGATAGTAGAAGCTAAATGTCCAGTTGATAACTCAAGTAGTATTCAATTTCGCACTGCGTCTAATAAGGCAATGAAATTGACAGAGGAAATGAAAAGGAAAGCAGCTATGCTAATGGCTGATTTGGAAACAGTTGGCGAAGATCAAGTAGAAAGCGGTAACATGCTGAAGCAGGATCAGGCGGCTGCTCCGAAGAGAGACGAAGCAGCTACAGATTGTGAACTGCTCGCTGGGATCCCATTAAGTGAATGGCAGCCAATGGCCATACCAGACAGCAAAGAAACAGATGGACTCGACGCGAGTAATCAGTTGGATTTGATACCATTCAGCGAATGGCAGCCCATTGATATACCAGATGCTAGAGCAAATACGACCAAAGATCAGCAACAAAAAGAAGCGACTGACTGGGGAGCTAGTCATGCACAAAAAAAAGTAGAATGTAATCAAAATGGGATTCCAGAATATATTCAATTTCGAACTGCCTCGAATAGAGTTCTGACATTGACCAAGGAGATGGAACAGAAGGCAGCAATGCTGATGGCTGATTTGGAAGGTCTAAATACAGATCTAAATGAAGCAAAAAAAGATTCTTTGAGTACGATTCAAGAAAAGGCTGAAGCAGGATACTCTCAGACAAGAAGAAAAGGTGCTAATGATAATTTGCATGTTGAAATTTCAAATCCAGTTCAATTTCGTACTGCTTCGAATAAGGTTCTGGAATTAACAGACGAAATGATGCAGAAGGCAGCGATGCTGATGGCTGATTTGGAAACTGTGAACGACAATCCCCGAGCAGAGCAAAAGAAGGGCAAAACTACAGTTAATGATAGTTGTTCTCAGTCAGTAACTGAAGATGATGAGAATATTCAGCCAAATGTTTCAGAATGTATTCAATTTCATACTGCTTCGAACAAGGTGCTCAAATTAACTGAAGAGATGAGGCAGAAGGCAGCTATGCTAATGGCTGACTTGGAACTCAATCCAACAGAGGGAACGCAGGAACAGTTTCGTAACAGCTGCACAGTTAAAAACAAGTCGGTTGCTAGCCAACAAGCGATTAAGGAAGGAAGAGCGCCCAAATCGACAATTGAAACTATCGATGGCATCTACCCGCTTGACTCTGAAGTCAACCAGCCTAAATCAGCTGTCCCACTGGAAGAGAATCTACATACAGAAGACAGGCCTGATCTTATATATGAGACGCCGAAATGCACGACAGAGCTACAATCTTCATTAACCCAGCTAACGGAGCGTTCGCCTTTGGATAGAAAAACTAAGAGTTCGATAATAACACGTCGCAATCTCTTATCTCTCAATAAAAGACGAAAACAAAAGCGGAATTCCGAGAACAGCAATGCTGATGGTGGACATACGCCGATTAGAAGGTTTGCCTCAATGGCAGCAGCGACAAGCACACCAATGCCAAGCCACAGGGCAATCGATGTAAAGGAGAATGAGGACAGTCCACAACCCTCTGTGAGGGAGCGCAGCTGCTCGCAAGACTCGCCACGCGTCGAAAGGAAGCGTTTGTGCAAGCGTAAAAGTGAAGATGCACTTTCGCCCATCTATGCGCCCACGCACAAGACTCGTCGGCTCGGCTTAAGTCGCATTCGCAATAAGTCAACCCATGAAATTTGAATTGTAAATTCGCGCCAATAAAAGTAGTAAAACTAGTTATACACAAATTTTGCAGAGCTGGCAGTGAGATTTTTAAGTGCATTGCAGGGGCGCACGTTTACCAACACTACCATATGTGAGTTCCAGTCACTCATTCCAATTCCAATTGGTAAGAAAATAAATAGTGTAATCTGTTACAATAAACACAGCTTTAAAACTGTTACAAATTATAAATCTAATTTGAATGAGTAATAAATGATAATGTGTGAATAATAGTTCTACAATTAAGCAAAACACATTTAGTTTTAGTTGTTGCGGGCAGCAATAAACATATCTAATGCACTTTGTTTACTTCCCCGCTGCATAATTTCCATTGGAAGAGACCCAAATACGAATAGCAAAACAATCAAATATGCAAGTGACTTCATTATTTTGTTTTGCATAATGTCAAAATGCCAATCGGCTTGAAAATTACTACAAAAAACATACATACATATGTGTTTTAAGAAACATTCCAATTAAATTAGCTATGCTAATTACGCAAATGACCAAAACTACATGTTTGCGTGAGAGTCCAGTCACCTACTCTGGTTACACAAACAAACAATTGAATGTGTGAGAGTGTGTGTGTAAATATGTTTTCTTTTCTTACTCTATTAATTTCGCTTAGAGCTTTCTGCTTAAATTTGTAATCTTTAAATAATAGGCGTTTCTGTCCAAGGTCGATTTTGTGTATTGGAAGTAAAGCTTGGATGAGAACAATTCTCTTTCTGTTGCTGCGGCATATCAACACATGAATACGGTACATACAATAGATGTATGTATGTATGCATGTTTGTGTGTCACATATACAGTCATGAAGCTTGAAATTTTTGTTTAGGCTATTTAAAATGATGGCGTATTAACATCGGTTCTCTTGCTCTAAATCACCGACTTTATCAGAAAAGTACATACAGTGAAAACTTACTAAACTGAATATGCGTATATATGTATGTAGTATTTTGCAAAATATGTGTAATAATATGCGAATTTCCTTTGCATTTTAACAAAATAAAATAAAAATATTGAATTTTATATATTTAAATATGTTTGGGCCATATTATATCAAAATTAAAAAACAAAAATCGAATCGAACAAAAAAACAAATTTAAGGTTGCTTTTTCTTTCAAAACATAAAAAATCATCATATACGTAATAGCTACATATCAGATTTACTAGAAAACATTTTAAACACCTTTCAGGCAAAAATGAGTTTTAAATTTTTATACAAATTTTATTTAATTATTAAGAATCACTTTTAGACTTTAAACAACTTTCGGCGACTATAGAACAGTTCGTTGATAAAGCTTTTTACTGTAGGCACACACATACACTATAGTTTATTTATTTATTACCATGTACGCCACTGTAGTTATAGTACAGGCTCTCTACTATCTGAGAGTTACGTCTAATCATTTATACGCGTTTTGTTTCGCTTGCAATACAACAAAAACAAACTGAAGAGAAGGAGAAAACAGAAAATAACAATTCGTTTCAGTTGAGAACACTTTCAAATATGCTTTTGTGAATTGTACTATTCGATATTATTAACAGTTGTGTTTTGTACGCTTTGCCACTCTTATTACTTTGCCACGTCAGTTCGAAATTGTTAATAATAGTGCACAATATGATGCGACAAATATATACATATATTGTTACTCCTTGTACAATTAGTTGAATATAAAAACGCAATTCCATTTACATATCTTACAGAAGCATCGCCAAGCATAAAAGCAAGGGAAAAAGGGAATCTTTAATTATGGCTGACGAGTTTGATGGCTGCGAATGCATTTGGTCGCACGAATTGGCGATGCAACGGCTTATCAATTTTGTAAGTGGACAGCTGACTGTAGACTATGTAAATGTACATGTATGTATATGGATATTATTTATATTTGTATTATCAACAGATACGTCAGAATCAGAATGCCTGCACAGACACCGAGTGCATAGACGGTAAATTTTTATGGTAGACATTTAAGTAGAATCTAATCTAATCGTCTTCCGCAGTTAGCGGACGCACCTTGCATCCGGGCCAGGCGATGTCGGGGCGTGATTCTGGCAGCAGTTTCACCATTGCCATGGTGTTTATGCTGTTGGCCATGTTCATGTATATCGTGAACCCAAGCACTTGGCGTCAATTGACCAACACTAAGCCAAGTCGCCGGGACAACAATCCAGATGGAGCGCCGCCGCCGCAGCCACCGGCCATCAATTAAATGTGGAAAGCTGCATAAATGAATGAGAGCTTGCATTTTCATTTTCTTTCTGTTTAACCAAACTACACACATGCACACACGATTACATACATATATATGTATGTGCATATATATATATAAACATGCGCATATATAGACACACACAGAGGCCAACTCAGCCAGCATATATAACCTATGTGTATATATATATAATTATATGTATGTATCTATAGTGGAAGACAAAAAATAATAATAAACTAAATGCAATGAAATCAAATTGTGAATATTGATGTTATATGTATATATATATGTATATGCTGTATATGGTTTATATCTATTTGTATGTGTATATGTTCTGTTTTTGTGTGTGTCATTTAAATATTAATGTCCCCCTCTCTATATATCCGTCTATCGCTTTTAATCAATATCAAACTTTTGTACAAATCCTTACTGAATTACATACTATATACATACATGGATATAATTTCTCTATGTGCAACTTAAAATTGGTAAATAAATTTTGTCTGCACCTAAATTAAAATGGTGCAAAATACACTTGAAATAGTTAAAATGGTTTACATATGCTTATTGTTCGAACAATTTAAAAGCGACGTTTTACAATTTGTATTGCTATGTTTGAAAATGCTGGCTTATTGCTTAGTCCTCATTGTTTTGCAGCTCTTCCATTTTGCGCCGCACATTCTTTAACAATCCTTTCATTTGCTCATATTTGCCCGTGGAGTCGGGCAGATTCTCAAAGTTGATAACATCACTGACGCCCACCTTAAAGTTGTCGCCCACGGGCAGTTTGTCGTACACGGAGAACTTCAATATGGGCGTGCCCGCTATGGATGGAGCCTTAAAGATCGCAGTTTGACTAGAAGCGGCGGGCGTCGCTGGAATCTCTTGGGTTTTGTCATTTTCTTCTGCATCTGGAGTGGCATTTGTCTCAACTTCACTTGAGTTGAGGGAGGTATTCGATTCCAGTTGCTGTAAAAGTTTCGCCTGCTGCGCTTGCAGATCGTCCAACGTGGGCGACGGACTGCGATTGCTCGGCTCCTCTTTGGCCGGCGGCACAGTTTCGGTGGCGTCTGCAAAAGGCAAAGACGGTTGCTCTTCCGACTTCTCCAGCTCATCATCATCATCCAGATCCATATCGTGTTCTACGAGATTTGTGTCATTCTCACGTTCTTCGAGACTAGTATCATGTGGCGCCGGCAGATCTATCAATTTCTTGCGTTTATAGCCTTTTGTCACATTCTCGCCCAGCGACTTGATAAAGTTTTCCTTTAGCTGATGCTGCTGAAAGCGTGGCACGTTGTGATGCTGGTAATCCTGGAGAGAGAAACTATGTTTAGAATTCTGCTACTCATATAAATATGCCCATAATTACATCATAGAATTTGGCACCTGGATCCACATTGAAGCCAGGAAAGTCGATTATTTTATTGACATCATATTTAAAACTTTCCGATTCGCCTTCCTCTTGCTCTGGTGCCTGCACCTCGCTGCCCTGCAACGATAGACAATGGATTATTAAATATATCTAATCATTTATCAACTCTCACTTACATCCGCATTGAAGAGCGTTATGCCAGAGCTTTGAACCTTCGCCTCCTCCAGCCAGGCTGGCGGATAGCCCAGCACACGCATGCGGTAAAACATGAATGGCAACTCTCCGCGGCTAAAGCCCATGGCATGGCGCGTTTTACTGCTAATCTTTCCAGGTCGAATGTGCGCGAAACGTTGTTCCGTATCCACGTGATATCGCTCCACCTTCTTTTTGCGTGCCCGCTGAATGCGCGCCTGATTGCGCGGCCGTGTGCACTCACGCAGCGAATGATCTGTGCCGCCGCAATTAAAGCAAGCGGATTGCGCCTTAGGTCGAAAGCATTTGTTAACGTCATCCAGTTTTTGTTTTTTTCGTGCGAAGGTCTCCTCGTCGAGCACCTCACCATGGCAGCGCTTGTATGAAGGCACTTGGGCAGCATTTAACTTGCACGTCGGCGACGTGTCTATCATAAATAGATCACTGTCCGGTGCTGGAGATTTCGACTGCGAATGAACGCTAATCCTCTGCTCCGTTGTTTTGTACACAAATTTCTCCGAGGCAAAAGTCGACTGCAGCGCTTGGAGCAGACGCTCTTGCAGCCTGTCATATTCGTCCACATTTTTAAATTTCACTTCGAATACGAAGTCTTCTTCAATTGTATTTGAGTTATGCTGTAATACATTTACATTATCATTTATAAAATTAGCAATTTAGCAATTTGTTTTGTTTCTCTCTTTCGTTTTGCTGTACCTGGTCATTCGTTGCTTCGCCTGGTTCTTTAATTGGGGGTTGCTGCAAATTGGCGGCATTGTTTATCTCCTCTGAGGTGATTTCCTGCACTTCACCATCTTCCAAATCGCCCCCGCTCTCAATAGTTATTATTGAATCGTTAATTTCTATAACGCTTTCGTCCATTTCTACTTTAAATAAATAAATAGCCGATTACTATTGTTTTTCCAGTTCATGAATGCCAATTCACAGTACCAGGGATGGGTACACGCCAACTCGATGTAAGTATTTTTTGAGTACTCAGTCACGACATGTAACGAACATTTCAAGGCATCTAATTACATTTCTAATAATGAATAATTTTAAATTTGTTTTGCCTGGAAATGTTATACAGCTAACTTAATAGGCTTTGGATTGATACTTCGAGTATAAATAGGGCGCATTTAAAAAAGGTCTTTCAGTTCGTGTGTAGAGCTTTCAGTAATCATTTCGAAGCGACATATTCCGTAAAATAAATCGTGTTAACTTAGCAGCTAACGGCACTTTTCAACCGCACCTACTGAGTAGCTGTTTTTGCAATTGTTCTATTCTTTCTTGAATATTCGAACTGAAAAGAGCGACGAAGCGTTTTTCGTGAAAAACTTTAGCTTTTAAAGTTAAAAATATAATAAATAGGGAGAAAATATAAAAATCTATTGTATATGTAAGTAATTAACACATACTAGGGAAAATTATATTGAGCAACCATTTTTTTTTGTTAGTTTTGACTGCTCAAGCGATTTTTTTTTCGAGATGTCTTCTTCAAGCAAAGCTGACAAACCGGCGGCCAAAAAGAATATTCAACCTGTAATAAAGCCAAATATTGATGAATATATAAAATGCCCATATGACGCGAGTCATAGCTTAGTACCAGACCGCTTCGCCTGGCACCTAACTCGCTGTGCCCGCAATCATTACACCAGCGGCACTCTGTGCTGTCCGTTCAATTACACCCATATCATGAAGCCCAACTCATTGAATGTAAGTACGTACATGTGTTGCCCATAAATGCAAAAACTAAGTGAATTTCAAAAATACATATTTGCAGAATCATTTTAACTGTCCGAATCGTAACGACCTCGAACGCTATGTGTGTCCCGATGCATTGCTGCCGAATGAGCCGCGTCCGTCTAAAGTCGACTTGGTGGAGTGCTCCGAGAACTGGGATGATGAGCCACCGACACCTACTTACAATCCAAGGGAGTATTCAGAGAACAATCTTATTATACGCCAATTAGTTGGCGGAACAGCCTCTGAGCGGCGTCGTTTTCGCGATATGGAGCGCGTACGTTTTCGACGACTAATTCAAAACAGACGATAAAAAGAATGACATAAATGCATAGGCATACACACACCCACACACAAACACATACATTGCACACACACTTACATACGCACATACATTGCATAACTAACACACTTTTTCAACCAAGTTTTCAACACATGCATATTTGATTTTTCAACGACTCTTTGTGAGCAGTGCTGTAAAGCGCGCAGTTATTTGCAGTAATGGAAAACGCTAAAAGTTGCTTTTCGTTATAAATTTGAATGAATGATAAACAGCTGATCTAACACATTGAAATGTAAACTATTACGTTTTTCTTTGAAGCAAATAAAACTTTGAAATTCAAATATAATCAAATTTTACATATTTGCATTTATATACATATATTTAGTTTCATTCGATTGCTCGCCCGGCGACATGAAAGTATGTAAGACAGAATGTATTTGACTTCCGCAATTGAAATCGAGATATGTTTTAGTAAAACAAACAGAAATTTATTCAAATCATGCGAAATGCAAAGCAAGTGCTCTTTTGGATTGTATAAACCTTATATATGTATATGTTATAATAAAGAGCTGAAGACGTCATTTCTCTGATTGAGAATCTAGAGAAGCGTGCGACTGAATGCCAACGGAATAATCATTATTAATTCAACTTACAACTGGGGGAATTCTCGACAACAACAGCAACCACAGGAGTTTTGAGCGATAATCGAGAATTTGAATAAGCGTAAAGAGCGCTGAGCGAAAAAGAGGCGACATTTCGTGAATGCCAATTAGGCTTTTCATGCTGACTATTGCTCAACCATAAATAGTCCAACATCAGGTTGGACGACTTCATAAATTGTTAACTATGCAACAGCTCAGGTGTCGACTGCTGCTCCTGCTGGCCATCGCAGCCTGTGCACTGGCCACGCCCACACTGGAGAAATTTCAAGGAAAGGCAACGCTTGTACAGGAGCAACTTTCCAATCTGCCAGATCCAGTGCAGCTGCTAAGCCAACTGCCCGCCAAGTTAATCAATTCGAAGCCAGCGCTATTGCAGGAGAAGCTTTCCAATCTACCAGACCCAGTGCAGCTGCTAAGCCAACTGCCCGCCAAGCTGAAGTCGAAGCCAGTGTTTGTCAAGTCCCAAGGGAAGGTAATGCTCCTGCAAGAGAAACTGTCCAGTCTGCCAGATCCAGTGCAGCTTCTAAGCCAATTGCCCGCCAAGTTCGTCAAGCCCAAGCCGGTGTTCGTGAAGCCCGTCGTCGTGAAGCCCATTGTCGTGGTCAAGCCAGTAGTTGTTGGAGGTGCAGGCGCCGGAGGCGGAGGTGGCGGTGGCCATGGTCATGGTCATGGACATGGACATGGACATCATGGCTAATTTATATAAATGTTTAGAATTTGAAAATTAACGAAACGAAATGTGTAAATATTGAAAAAAAAAAGAAAATTACATTGTAAATGCTTTATAACATATCAAATTAATTTATTTTTCATAATTACGATATATTGTGCTAAATTTGACGAATTTCTTATTAAATAATCAAATTAGCTGATTTTTCAAGTCAAATTAAGGACATGCATACGTTTTTATAAAGTGAAATATTCGAGACCAACTCCGCCCAATAATACGTTTACAATGACCACGATTACGCCGACCTTGGTCATTGCTTCTTCTTCTGCAACCCTCTATAAAAAAAACTTTAATAAAACCGCATAATTTTAATAAATGGAGAAGCTGATATCTAAACCAATGGCAAATCAATAACAGCTCTTTTAGTTTTTTTCCCGCTAAGTTGCGCATCTCTGCCACTAGCTCTGTTAGTGATAGCCCGCTGTTTGGGAAAGTGAAAGGCTTTCGCCTTTCGCACTTGCCATGCTCAATAAGCGCATATCGATGTGCATAATGAATCGTCCTTGCTGAACATTTGGCTAATGACAGCCTTTGTGGGCCAAACAAATTGCACTGCAGATGCCAGCGACGGGAATGAAGATGAAGATGGAGATGAATTCAATGGATGGAATGGCAGCATTCGACATGCACATTAAAACACAGCAGCAACAAGTGATAAGGGCGAGCGCATTCTAATCAACGTAACACATAATCATAATCATAAACCCACTCAAATGCTAACACACATACAACTGCTCTATCTAATTTATACAGTTGTCTTGAGGGGCGCCTTTGTAATCAGCAGCATTCGCAGCATCCACAGCCGCCGCCGCCGCGTATTATGCAAAGAGAAGACCACAATAACCGCCCAGAGGAGTCGACGACAACCCCCCCATTTTGGTTAGCATATATAAGCCGCTTGGCCAGAAGTTTCGCAAACATTTTGGCACAGTTTGCAGAACTCGCCGCAGTTTTTAACCACAGTCAACAGCTAGAGACAGTTACAGTTAATACAACAAAACTCATACAAAATGGTGAGTACATTTTGAGATCTGTTTAAACCACATTGAAAGGCAATCAAACTTGGCTGGGCTGAAAGTTATTTTTAGACAAGCAGCTAGAGAACGGGTTTGTAAGCTGATCTATAATTTCAATCAAAGTGGAAATAGAAAATGAAAAAAAAAAATAAATAAATAAAAATTGTTAAAGTGTCTAAGATATATGGTAACATGTATATGATGAAAAAAATAGCTAAAGTGTCTGAAATACATATGTTAACTAGATTTAAAAAAAAAAATCTTATATATTGCGAAATATTATATAGTGAGATTATTTATATATGAGTTCAACCCGTAGATCGAATGCTTTGTAAGACATCTCCATGATTCGCTAGAAATTCCATATTTTTTAATCACTTAATAAATACAAGCCTAAATGTATATATATCTTTATATGTATAAGAAATTATGATTATTAATGTGAGTTGCTCATATATCAGATTCATTGCTGATTTATGCAATGGTCGATTGCCTCGGCTGCCCAGTAAAAGTCGCTAGCTAATAAGTAACTAACGAAAAATGTGGCTCTTTCTTAAATGGCAGCAGTTTGATCTGGTTCCATATGTGACTTAAGTGCTCAAGCACGCCACAGAGAAACAGAAACAGATACAACCATAGATATTCTCTGTAGCGGGTGACCTTTGCTGAGGTCTGTCCACATCTTGCACTCTTCTACTCTCTTTCTCTACTCTCTCGCTCTCTCTCCCTCTTTCTCTCGCTCACTTTGAGAAAGCTTGTGACTTGAGCTTGACATTTCCAACAACTTAGTATTTTTTTTTTATAATTTGCGTGTGCGACGCTCATTTAGCTTAGCTTTAACTGTCCAGATGTCTGTCTATTCATAGTCATATCTTGAACAAAATATGACCATACGGCAATTAGCTGTCAGCCCCCGAGTAGAGCCCAGTTAGCTAATCAATTCAAGTCACTCTGGTTACCGTTAAACGTAGATTTTATAAGACGCAAATGTCTTGAACCTACATCAAATGCAAAATATATATTTATTACCTGATCTATTGCCACATCGGACGATCAGACAACGTGTCTGCCAGTTACACAGTTTTTCAGCTTGTATATAAGCTGAAAACGTCTATTGAATCATACTTGTGCCACATTACAAGTTTGTTGACACGCTGACGTATACGTAATCTCGCTCGCTCTATCTCTCTGTCTCTCTTGATCACTGCCTGCACATATAGTATTTTCATATATTACTAAATATATATGGATATATGTACATATATAAATATATATGTATGTATATGTGTGCATGGAGCACAGTTCAAAGCGCAATCGTAAATCTAATTGTAAGTAGGCGTATAATTTATATATATATATACGTATATGTATTTATATATAGCTAGGCTTTGGCTTTGGTTACGTTTATATTTAAGTCGGGGCTGTCACCGCTGCCGCCCCTCAAAATAAAAACGGAAATGGGCAATAATATGCGACGCAGCTCATACTTTTATTTTTATTTTTCTCTTTACACATTTAAGCATTTTACACGCTTTTACATGATAAGTTGACGTTGAGTGGAAAGGTGGAGGTGCTGCTTGCAAGAACTGACTGAAAAGACACTTCGCACCAATGCACACATACACACACATATATGCATATATGTATACTCAACAGTGTTTAACTTTTGAATACCCTATATAGTCAGCAGGTGTATAGACTAATGATAGGCACACATATACCTCTTAAAAATACTAAATAGCTATAGATATGTGACATGCCTCACAAATTATCGATAGATTGGATAAGATATTGAAAAATCCTACATCTACTCAATTAGGACAAAAATGCCTAAATTTTACTACAAGCAAAATACATACTGTGCAGCATACTTATAGGAAACTGCGAGTTATCGATAATTATGAAACTTTGCAAGAATATTCAGCTTGTGATGATTTTGAAACATTTTGCATTCTCTTTTAGTATTTTGCCTGAATTTAAGTTCAGAGTATTAATATTTACAACCTAATGTAATTTGTTAATTTTAATTTTAAGGCGAATGCTATAGTCGTGCATTATCGCTCGCAAACATTTCCTTGCTCATTTATGCTCATGACGCGCTTTATTTTGGTGAGTGTGAGCGAATTACAGTTACATGCTTCAATTTCAATTTCAATTGCTGAATTTGTGTGCGTGTGCTCTGCCAGTGGCGTGGCTGGGCGAGGGGTTTGCCCTGGTAATTGAATGCATTTATATGTGCCCTTTATCTGACCAGGGTTGCCATGCCACTGTGTCAATGCAGTGGCCACATACACACGCACATACACATGCACACGCACACAGTTATCAGAGAGCTTGGAAAGGGGGTGACGGCGACTGTATTGGGGCCGCAGACAGACACTAAACTCGAGCAACATATACATACATATGTATGCATGTATTTACGTCTGTGTTTCTGTGTGTGTATGAGTGTATCCGCACGATCGTCCGTGTTCCAGTGCTCAGTGTTGTTCAGCGCTCGCTTTGCTCAGTCCCCCAACAGCCAGTCCAACATTTTGTCAATTCATTTTTTGCATTTAGTCTGCGTTCGTTCCTCATGCGGCTTGACAATTCTGCTTTCGACATAAAAGAAATGACAAAATATAATAAAAATGAGAATACTTTAGTGTATTTTTTGACAAGTCGTGTCGCCTTGGCATATAGATAGATACACATAAGTATATAATTATACATATTCGTGTCTATATGTGCCAACATTTGTTTTTGTGAGCATTTCAGATATATTTTGGTTACTTTCAAATATATACATATTCAAAATATACATACATATATATAAGTGTGTGTGTGTGTGTGTTTATATATTTGTATGTTTGTATGACACACAGTCAATTGTGAATTATCAGTGACAACGTGAGAATAGCTCGGCCCTTGGCCAGGGGCGACAGCTTCGATATACGCCGCGTATCAATTATGTGGAAATATATTTACAAAGATACATATGCATATATATATCAGTCAGTGTCTGTGTATGTGTACGTGCATATGTAAAGCAATTTTGATGCCCTGGCACTGAATGTCACTAAACGCGCCAACCACTCGCATTGCGTGCGAATGTTACACACACTCTCAAACAGCGAGTCTCTGTGTGTGCATGCTTTTCTGTGTGAGACCGAGAGCGAGTGAGAGAGCGATCAGTGTCTCTTGTTTGCGTGCGTGCGTCCCTGTGTGAGCTTGTGTGCAGATCAGCAGCAGTAACAGAAGCAACAGCAGCAAACACAAACAAACAAACAACAATTCACATTCATTCATTGCGCGTCGGCTTCATTGTGAATGATAACGATTGTGATTGCCGCCTCTAGCTATTATCGTCAGTTTTGCCACGCACCAAGAGAGAGCAGCAGCGCAATAGCAGCCAGTGAGAGTAAACGCGTGTGAATATAACAAAAAATAAATAAAAATAAAATCAGAATACCAAACACAAAGAGGAACAAAATCAATTTAAATACCATAGAAAACGTGCAGAATTGTTATTTGATTCCCTTTTGTGCTGTGTCACGCCCATCTATGCCGCCTAGGCCGCGTCAACGCAACGCACATAAAGATCTAACGAAAATCCATACAAAATGGCGATAAATTCAAGCGCCAGAGAAACGCCCCAGCGTCAAGTTTAAAAAGAAAGTAAACGCAAGATCAATGATAACCCACAAAACAACAACAACAACAAATACCAAAATTGTATGCAACAAAAGTTTGCCAAAAAAGGAACGGCCGATAGGCGGCGATAAACGCCAAACGCGAATCAAAAACGAGAACGAGACCGAGACCGAGACCGAGACCGAGAAACTCGCATCGAACACGAAACAAGCGCCTAAGGTAAGCGACCCTCCGATTCCGATTCCGATTCAAGTTCCAATTCCGATTTCGATCTTTGCCTTCTTCATGCGATTTACATATTTGCTCATTTGTTTATCAGTTTATTAACATTTTTATCACAGCAGCAGCCACACAAATACACACGCCCTTTTTTGCGGCATTTGCATTGGCAAGTTCAACTTTTGTTTGTTTGCTCTGTGGCCCAGTTTGAGGTTAATAACATTGAAAAAAATCAAAAAAATCCAGCCCCCTTCCGTCTGCTTCCTGTTCGCCTCTGCTGGCGCTCACTTATTTACACTGCTCAAATAACAAATTTAAATATTTTTGGACGCATTGTTGTTGTAATGAAATTGTTACAAGGTCATTTGTTTGTTGAGCATGAAATATTTATGGGTTTATACGCTGAACACTCAATATGCCCGTGGGTTGGCATATATTTGATTCATTTCAAATTCATTTTTCGGCTTCTTTATCTCAATACACACACACACATATATATACATATATATACGAAAGAGGGACACTCATACTCACGTTCACATACTCATGCTATTGCTCGCTGTAATTTCCGGTTCCGTTTTTCCAGTAATGGGCGCTTGTGTGAGTGAGTGTGCGTGCATATGCGTGTACGCATTCAATTTATAGGCATGGGAACAGTTTTCTTTTTTAGTGATTAGGCTTTTGCGCTGGATTCTAGTTCTTTAAGCTGTTCTCTAAATTAGTTCTATTTGCTGATTAGACTTGGAAAACTCTGGAATTCTTTTGGCTCTCTAAGTAAAATGTTTATCTGTAAGCTAGATTTGTTTTTTTTTTAGTGTTAAACGAAAGCAAAACTCTAATTTCGCTTGCCTCTGTTTGAACTGCATTTGGGATTCTTAAATGTCAATGGAATAATCCGTTTGTCCGCATGGAGTGTTAAGTAAAAGTTCACAGCGGAATATTTTTGCGAATTACACATTTAAGCTATTCCCTAATTCATTGTTATTAATGAAATTGTGTTAATTCACTTGCGGCTTCTATTATCTGGAAATTGAGGGATTTTTGTAATTTTCCAGCAGAATGTTTGTATATTTATTTATTTATTTTATTTTTTTTTTTTCAAAGATTTCGCTTTTTATTTATGCATTTCATCAGTTGTTTTTATCAGCCTCGCAGATATACATATATATTTTTTGCATCACGGGAATATTATGACGCCATAATTGGATACAACGAACGTCATGGCTGACACCCTTTGCTAAGGCAAAGGCAAAGTCGTTCGTGAGTCATAAAATCGTTCGCTAATCAATATAAAACTATTCAAACTAATTGTTTGACCATAACTTGACTCGTGCTGTAATTGTTTTCGATTTCGCTTATTCACAATAATTATATCCAAATGATTATTTAATTAGTTTAATTGTGAGCATATAATCGTAAAAATGTGGGATATACATCTGACTATACATATGTACATATATGTTACGTAGATCTCTGTGTATATGTATGTAATTGATTGCAATCGTCACGCTAACCTGCTGTTTTAATGCTAAGCCACCGCAGGGGTCGATCTATAATTAGATTTGTTTTTTTTTTTTTTTATGTTATGAAATTAGCAGAATTTGTTAACCACAAGATTCTGTGTGCGTAAGTTTTATTAATTTTAAGCGATGAACAAGTTGAATTTCGTCTATATAAAGAAAAAGGAGAACAGTCATCGTCTGGATATGAAATCGAGAACTTTTTGAACTGGTTCCACAGGCACTTTCCATTCGAATAAAGTTTCCCGCTCAATTAGCTCGTCATGTGCTAATAATGCACAAATTAGTCAATCACAATAATGGTAGACTGAATGCATATCCTGTAATTGAAAAAAATCTTTATTGGAAAAGTATTGAAAGTGGATAAGACAGCCTAATAGTATGCAATGCAAATTTCAAATGATTATATGCATAAGCTGAAAGGAATATAGTCCATGACAACAAAAGGGCTCATTCAAATTTCTCCATCGTCAAATTGTAATTGAAGCTTAGGCTACCCTTCGACTTATGCGTTCGCAGGGTATAACAATGGAATTCATGGAGATTGTTGTCTGCGGCAATTATATGTTGCAATTATAGCAACAGTTAACAATTAATGACGTCAGCTAATAAATTAAATATAAAAACTTACCTAGGGGAAATCCAAAGATAAAGGATGATGAAAGATATTCTTAAACAGAGGGAGTGAGAGAGAGATGGACAACTTATGCCGGCAACAAGTGGTTCAAAGAGCACACGCGCTTACAAAACAAAAGAGAAAAAGCGAGCGAGAGAGCGCGTGTTTCGCTGGAAAGAGCAGAACGTTAGCAACATGGTGCTGGCAGCAAAATGGCAAGCAACATGTTGCTTGAGCAGCGCGCATAACAGAGGCGCACAAGAAATCAATAAAACAAAAACGCACACACCCACAGACACACATTCGTGCATGTTAATTTAACAGCAACAGTCGGCAGCCAGCAGTCAAACAATGTTGCAGAGGTAAGAGGGTCGCTCTCAGAGTTTCGCACAAGTTCACAACAGATGTATAAAAAAACAAAACCGGATTGCCGAGTGCAACAGTTTCAATCTGAACAGCGTGGCGAGCAGGTCGTTTTCCGAGAGACAACACTTGTAGCATAGATATACGAGAGATTTTGTCTTGTTTTCAAAGATCATGTAAGCAACACAATCGAACCAAACAAACAACAAAATAATGTAAAAATATTAAGTGCAAGCAAACAAGTGTCAATTGAAATTTATTAAATATATTTAATGCAAAATAAAATTATATTATTTAATCAAATAAACAATTAACAAGTGTCTATGAAGGATAAAAGAAAACGTTGGCAAATTGTTAATGCTCATATTTTAAGTGCTTGTTTTTTGCATTAACGTTGAAAAAAAAGACATTTAATAAACAATTTTAAAATAATATATACATATGCATTAAAAAATAAAGTTATTAAGTAAACCAAAATAAAGTTGTTGTTGTCTTGCGTACACGGTGGAAAAGTACCGCGCGAATAATTATTGTTACGATTATTATTATTGTTGTTGTTGTTGCTGTTGCTGTTAACAATTTATAAAAAAAAAAAAACAAAAACAAACAAATTGAGTGAGCAACAGGCGCTTCCAACCTGTAGCTGGAACCATATAACAAAATACCAAAAACAACAAAAATTCGAATATCATAAAATACCAAAATACCAATTGCTGCTTATCGCAACGTTTTAATCTGTGTGCGCAGGTCGGCTCTCACTCGCAACATTTCCTTCTCACTCTCTCTCTCTCCCAGTGCGCATAAAAAGGGGACTACCTGCTGTGCGGAGCTGTGCCCTTGCGCCTGCGCCTGCGACTACAGCTACAGCTCAAGCATCTCAGCTCACAGTCAGTTGTGTCGTCATCTTTCATCGATATCCATAACCAAATCAATGCCGCCGACCGGCACAAATTGACGTTGCCGTTGTTGCTGTTGTTGTCGTTTCTTTCTGTCTTTTGTTGTTTTCGCATTATGTTGCACGCAGGCCACCACAGATGACGCTGACGCTGACGCTGACTCTTTGAGCCACGTTTCCCTGCGCTGTTGCTGTTGCTTTTGCTGTGACTGGCTCTGCCTCCTCCTCAGCCACTGCCACGGCCGCTGCCGCTGTCACTGCCTCTGCCGATGTCACTGTCACTTCTCTTCTTGTTGTTGTACATTTTTGACATTGTTTCTTTTCTTTTTGGCTCTGTTGCCATGAGAGGGTGCGCCACACACACACACACACACACACACATAGTCATGCAGACACATACACTTACACAAGACAACTTTCGTTGATATTTTATTGGGCGATGATGTCATAAGTTCTTATTGGTGCGTGAAAAAGCGAGGCGACTGGAAAAAAGGGAGCAGGCAAAACCGGCCATAGGGATACACACCCGCACACACACACATATAATAACAAACATCACCATGAAATGAGCGAGCATATTTTTATTTATTTTGTGATTTCCTAGAAATCAAAATTGTTGGCGCGTTTTGCCAATAAATGTGAGTTCGAGTTCCATTCGAGTTGTTGTTGCACAAATGTGCGCTTGCAACAGGAAATATATATGTATATTTATTTATATATGTACGTATTTATATACATATATAATATATATTATGCTTAAGCACACACACACACATATACGCACTTGCATTTGTATTTATTTTTTGCACGCAAACACTTCCGACATTTTAAATGCAGCGGGCAAAGCGATCAGACCGGCTAAATAAATCAACATCAGCAATAACCAACAACAACAACAACAGTAGCAGCAGTAGCAGCAGCAGCAGCAGCAGCAGCAAAGAGTAAGCAGCAAAAGCTGCCATGTGCATGCGCCCAGCCAGCCAGCCCTCGTCAGCGCGCGCACTCTCCACACTCTCTCTCCCACTGTCACTCTCACCCTCCCTCTGCGCTGTATGCTCAGCCCACGCTCAGCCGACGCCGCTGCTACTGCTGCTGTTGTTGCTGCACTTTGGCCGTTAAAGCGCTCAATGCATATAAATGATTTTAATCAATGGCGTTGACGTCGACGTTTACGCACACATACGTATCACATACACGCACACACACACACACACACACACATTAATAATAATAATAAATGACAGCGATCGTACGAGCATAACAAAAATTCCTGCAATGCGTATTTGGAATGCACACTGGAAGGGCGGGCCAAAGACACACGCTTTAACAGCTTTCCAGAGCAGCGAAATAACATTTTGCTGATTAATGATTTGCACTGTTATTAGCTAAAAGAAAAAAGGAAATCTGTTAGTGTAAACGATTTCTGACAGCTGTCAGACGAACCAATCAAAAACTTTCGCTTTAAGCAGCAACAACAACAACAGCAACATTTGATAATTATAATAATAATGTCTGTAATAATACCTATTTTTAGAAAATCTAAACAGAAAGAAAAATCTAGAGAAAAAGAATTAAAAAGAAGCCTATACTGCGGCAAGTCAACTTA